TCACACCAACTACACACAGGGAATAGAGTGTCTGTGACTGAACATTGAACTGCTGGGTAAGGAAGCAGTAAGGGGTACCCATACTGCAGAGGCCACAGACTGCTGTTCCCATGGTCAGGACTCCTAGGAGAAGGGGGAGGGACTTTCATCTCTATTCAGACAGACAGTAAGCCATTTATGTTCCTTCTTTGTTCAGTAAATCATTTTTCATGATTGGTATTTTTTTTTTTTTTTTTGTCTTAGGCTGTAAGAGGTAATATATTTTTTTCAAATTTAATTTATTTGTATTATATTTTTATATATTTTTTGAGTGTGTGTATTGTGTGTGTTTTGTATTTGTGCAGTCAGCTTTCCTTCCACCATCTGACTCCCAAAGATTGAACTTAGAGTGTCAGGCTTAAGGACAGGCAACTTGCCCACTGAACCATCATGCTGGCCCTAACCTAGTTAAAAAAAAAAAAAAAAAATGTTTCCCCCGTTATCTAGTTTAATAAGACATACATACTTACATACACAAATATCCTTAACTTAGGAAATCCCCCTTTCTCATTAAGTCATATTTTAATTGAACACCAGCATTTCTATATCCTGCAATCTCACATCCCAGAGTATGTTGCAGTTTCTCTCAGAGTTACATAGTCCCAGTTGTAAAGTGACATTGGGTGTTTCCTCTCCTTTGTGCAGTAAGCCAGGCCATGGCTGGGTGGTAGTGTCCTCTCACCTTTTACACAGAACTTGGTGGCTGGAACAGATAACATAGGGAGCAAGGGTGGGTCTGAGGAGAGTGGGACCTCTGTGTGTAGCAAGGGCTGAGCTCTCTAGGGCTTGGGCTAAGATAACAAGGAAAACAGAGAGAATGTCTTCATCCACATCTCTGAGGCAGATCTCCTGTTCTGGAGATGACCAGGAATGTGAAATATAGGCTCTGGAGCTCAAGATTGTGTGTACATGGCAGAGCCAGGCCTGGAGCCATGTGTAGGCAGCATCTGACCTGGCTCATACTTGTGTCTGTGTGCCTAACTTCTCAGGCACCCAGCACCTGCTGTCCCCTGCCTGCCTGTATAGTGTGCTCTCTGTCAACTCACATCATCTGAGATGCAGGCAGGGAAGACAGGGCATGCACCTTATCATGTATGACCTGTACTTAGTGCGTTTCCTAGACACAGCAGGATGGATAGAGAGTCAAATCTGTGTCTTAACAGTGGTGATATGTGCCTCAGTCATGTGGGTGGTCAGCATTCACACAGGCAATTGGTGCTTTGTGTCTGTTAGTCTGATTTTCTGTTGCTGTAACAGAGTACTCCAGACTTGGGTAATTTATATAAAAGGCGGTGGGAAAGCTCAGAAGCATGTCACTGGCATCTGACCATTCTCTCATAAAAGTACGGTGTTCCAACTAACGTGGTAGAAGTTAGATGTGTAAGCATGACAGGCGAGCCGGCTGTTTTTAGCAACCATGTGTGCACTGATTAATCGAGTTCTGTAAGAAAGAAGCCAGTTCCTCCCGAATAGCACTAATCTTTCCCGTTGACCCAGTCACCTCTTCAGTGCCTTCTAGCAGTCTACTGACTGATGATGAAAGATTAGACCTCTTGGCTGTTCTCATGAGAAAACAAACAAACAAACACAGCAAGAAGTAAAGTGTTGTACTTTGTGCTATATGCAATACACCCCGCATGGGATGCAGCATTGGCTTACCGTGAACAGCGGAATGAAGGTTCATGAAGGAACCCAAAGGGGGAGAGCCTGTACCATCCTTGGGCCGAGCTCTGCCAGTCACTCAGGGAGGTTCAGCTCCCTAGAATTGATGTGTGTTTGCTGATGATCCCCTTTACATCACAGTAGTGCTGAATCTCTGATCAGATTCCAGTGGTTTTGAGGTTGGTCCTCAAAGATGTGACGATGCAGGGCTAGGGTTTCAGATGCCAGTTTTAGAGTGCAGCAGTCTCCCCAGTAAAAGAAGACCAGGATGACTTTTGGTCCTGATTCTGGCACTGGGCCCCTGCAGTCCTTGGGGATCTCCTGAGCAATGGAATGTCTTCGCCTCTTCTTCACTCATATCCACTCTAGGCTAGTGAGATGCCTTGGAGTGTGGTCACAAGAAAGATTCCAGGGTGGAGCTGCCAGCCCATCCACTGATCTAGTGCAAAAAGGTGGGAGCAGGAGGACAATCTATTGACTGATGAAGTTGAGCTTTTTGCCAGGTGAATGAGCCAGGAAGAGGATGAATGATTACTGTTTTAGTTTTATTTCTGTTACTGTGATAAATGGCCTGACCGAAAGCAACTCCTGGAGAAGGATCTATTTGGCTTACTTGCATCAGTGAGAAGACGTCAAGGCAGGAACTCAAACAGCTAATCAGAGCACATCCACAGTCCAGAACAAAGAGAAAGGAATGCATCTTTGCTAGCTGCTTGTACTCAGCTGGTTTTCTTCACTCTTACACAGTTCAGGGCCCAGCCTACCTTCAGGGTGGGTTTTCCTACATCAATAATTAATCAAGACAACCCGGACATTCCTGCAGGCCCACCTGATCTAGATAATTTTTTATTAAGACCCTCAATCCATGTGGTTATAGATTGCCAAGATGACAATCTCACAACCCCCCAACTCCATGGAGATGAGGCTTTTATACCTGGGAACTTTGGGAATCATGTACATCTTCTTATGGGTATTCGTTTTTGTCCTTAATAATACACCTGGAGTTCAAAGACAGTTGTGCCCTTATTCATGGACTTGTGTTTCAAGATGCTCATTGCATACCCAAACCACAGAAGGTATTGACTCCTGTAAGTGCTGCTTTCTGTGCACATGTGCCAGTAATAAGGTTTAATTCATAAACTGGGCACATCAAGAGAGTAACAGCTAAAAATATATACAGTAGAGCAAACATAACAAAGTGCTCACATAAGTTCTGTGTATTGATCTCTTTCAAAACACTGTCCTGTGTACCACTCGCCCTCTTATGATAATGGTGAGATGGACTTAGTGGCCTTTGAAAACTTCTCCTTGGTGTGCCTGAATTGCTCACATGACTGTTCGTGTGCTTTGTGGCTGCTGATAAGTAAAACAAGAGTTACTCAAAGGCAAACTTTGCAGTACCATGACAGCTGGTCTGGTAGGTAACAGAAACAACTGCTAAGTAGCCAAGTAACAAGTAGGCTGCACATCCCCAGCGTGGGTATGCTGGACAAAGTTTGGCTCACAGTTTGGGCAAGGTGGACCCAAGGAACTCAAGTTTTCATCCTGGGATTCAAAATGTCATGCCATTTAAGATGCAAACTTTTTTGTTTATTTCCAGACCAAGCTGCTATTATTGTTGTTGTTGTTGTTATTATTATTATTATTATTATTATTATTATTATTATTATTATATTTTAGACCTGAATTTGTCCCGTTCTCTATAGTAGAGTCAGTGTGAACAATAGGTAAATAGTGTCAGAGTTGAATCAGAAGGTGTCACTTAGCTGGTAGCAGAGTCAGTGGGTGTCAGGGTACAACATTTGCTGTTCTAGGAAAGGCTACAACATGTCAACCTAAGGTCTGACTTAGGATAGCATGTAGAATCCATGCTATCTTATCATTGTATTGTTGCCCAAGAGAGACAGCTAATTTGTAGGCACAGTAAACATTATCCTGAAAGCTAAGAGACATATACCAGTAAAAAGCCAAGAGATCACGTATAGCCCAAGACTCAGTCACACCACACATTGAAATATTTTCTGCACCTGCGCCTTGAGGGTTCTTTTTGAGTAGTCATAAAGGTTCAAGAAGACTGTTGTTGGCTTCACTATCTGTGGTCAGGCTGTCTCAGGTGGCCATGCTCTTGAGAAAGCATTCAGTCTGTAAGTGGCAGAGTAATTGTTTGGGACAAGTGGTTGCCTGTAAGGTGTGACAGTGACCTCTGTCTTCCTTCCTTCCCTTCCCTGGAGCATGGGCTGCATATCCCAGATAAGCTTAGTATGCTTCTTTTGGCTATTATAAATGTTAAAGTTGCTAGAACTCGATTCTGAGTGGTGGGGAGGAGCAGTCCCACTCTGTCTCCTGTGTGATTCAGATGTCCTCCTGCATGTTGCTGTCTCTTCCGTGGAAGGGCATGCATTGGGTCTCCTGGGCCAAGGCTTCTTTTTGTCTTCAGAGTTGAATTCCTCCCAAGACACACAGACTGGCTCTCCTGCTTGACCTGACTGTTACCTGTTTGTGCTCTGCTTTAAAACCCTGTCTGTGGGAGCTGCATGACTGCCCTGTCATGGGTGACTGCTGATGCAGGTCTACAGTGGTTCGCATGTCACTGCAGAACATCAAATACCACTTGTCACAAGCTGATTTTAAGGGGAAAATCTGGTTCCATGAGGTTTTATGGGTCTTCATTCCTTTATGTTTAGGGAACACAGAGGTACTAGGAGGTCTACATCCATCCTGTGCCAGGCTTTGGTGGTGGGTGGGTTCCAGTCTTATTCTCGCCTCAAGTCAGAATAGCCAGATTGGTTCCTGAATATGATCTAAAAATGGATTTCAAAGAAATGATTGTGTAATCTCCATAAGGCCACTGGTGCTGGCAAGGCAATCCCCAGGCTGCTTGGAGTACCCCAGCACCCTGTTTCCCACTGACTGCCACACGTGCCCCAGCTGCTTTGTTTGTGTCAAAGTCCAGACCCTTCCTCATTATCTTAATGCTTGTGGTCTTGCAGGAAAGCTCACTTCTGATAAGCCCAGTCTGGGCTAAATATAAGTGAGCCATGCTAGCTCAACCAGATGCCCTCAAGCTGGAATCCCAGTTCACCATATCTCAACTGAGGGCTGTTTCAATTATTCTACAAAGAGCCTTTCATTTTCTCTGGCAAGTAAAAATAATCAGTGCTGGAATTGAAACTGTCCTCTAAAAGAAGATGGGTGGGGCTGGTGACGCTGGGTGGGGGGCGGGGGTGGGGCGCACATGCTTTCCAGTACCATTCCTTGCTCAACTCTCCATTTCTGAAGCCGGTGTCTCCTCTCCTCAGATGGACTTTCTGGCCGAGACCAGCCGGTGGAGCTGCTGAATCCTGCCCGTGTGAACCACATGTCCAGCACTGGTAAGTCAACTCTCTTGGCTTGCCTTTGAAGCCCTGCTTTGCTGAGGGAGTATGATGAGAGACACAGGTCACTTTACAAGTGGGAGTGTGACAGGAGCCGGATGCTTTGGACTTGGTGCCTACTCAGATTGCATTTCAACTGTGTTTTTGGGTGCCTGGGCTCTGCCTTTCTTTTCCCTCCTGCCACCCCATGGGCTCTAGAACACTGAGCATGGGTGGGATAGCCTTAAGTATTGGGCCAGCTTTTAAAATTTGACTTTTTGAAAAGTTTTGACTTTCACTTTCCTTCACATTCAGTTTGCTCAAGTCATTTTGACTAACACTGCCATCCATAGTTTTGGTGTTTTGAGATAGTTTCCTAGTGCTTACCCATTGTTGAATGAGATAAGAATTTCTCATATGCCCTAATGGGCTATGAAAAAAAAGGTAAATAAACATAGTTTCTAAGAAAAACAGAAAATGCAGGCTTTGTGTTAACTTTTCTGCCATGAAAAGCGAGCAAGTGTGCATGGGCACGCGCGCGCACGCATGCACGCGCGCACACACACACACACACACACACACACACACACACACACACACACACGGTGCACTTTGAGAGCCTGTTGCTTAGTGCGGGGTGGGCTATGGCTCTCAGTGCTCTCTCTGACCTGCCTTCATTCTGAGCCTGTGGCCCTGTAGTTCCATTGCTGGGCACCTGGGCTTTCTTTACTCATTCTTCAGACATGAATGATAATGCTTCCCTGCAGAGTTCTCAGTAAGCTCAAATATATGTGTTAGCTTTTTAGTAGTTCTTCGATAAATGTTGTCTTTTAATGTCACACTGACTAGTACTGAAGATGGCGTGGGATGGAACTATGACATGCCAACTCAAGAGCCAAGTGTTTCCTGTGCCTGTTCTCATTTTCTTTCTCTGCTCCAGGGATGGTGTGTCAGCAAGGGTTAACCCCCATGAAACTCACTCTGCTCTTTTACCCCTGTAGCCAAGCTCCTTTTTCTTCCTAGTGTGTATAGCACATTTTTGCAGTGTTGAAGGTCAGTGTTTACACCATGACTTTAAGCCTACATAGAAGAAGTGCTGTCAGTCGGCAGTGAAAGGCATGTATCCACAGGGTGTGTGGGACATCTCATGGAGCCTACATGTTAGCATGTGTTCGAGAAGCCACTAGCATAGAGGGCATGCTTTCAACTCCATTTTGGTCACTTTGACCAAATATCAAATGCCTCACAGAAATAATAAGCTTGAGCTAATTTTGACTTTGAAACTTGGTGTGAAATATCTTTCATGTTGCTTTTTTATAGTATGGAACAGAAACACTGTGTTTTGTGTCATCAGTTTGTGTTGCTGTGTTCCTGACAACTGAGTTAATCTTAACTGCTTTCTGATATGCAATGAGAGTATATCCCATCAGCATATATCCTTTCACTTGAGTAGGAGAAGTGCCTAGTCCTTCTCATTGCCAGTCACATCTTATTTCTAGACCATTCCTTGACCTGCATTCGTGAGTACTAGAAAGTTCTGGTGATGGTAAACAAGCCTTGCTATTTTGTAGCAAGAATTGTTAGGACTGTACATCGTTGTCTGTACAAAAGATGGAAAACTGGCTGCATTTTCCATAGTATTTGAGAGTTCCTGGCAGTTTGGGCAGGAAGGAAGTATTTGCTTCTCATTGTTGTGAAGTGTCATTTATAACTGGCCTGGTGTACAGAGACAGATTTACATCTTTTGTGCTCGGTGCACTTTGGATCTGTGTTTATCATCAATTTTTATTATAGGTTTTAAGACATTGGTATCTCAGGTGAATCAGCCAGGACATGCAAAAGGATATAGTGTGTCTTTGTCCACCTTAGGTACCTGGGATGTAGCATTAGTTTTCAGTAGCTACATGTTAGCTTTGCATAATTCTTCCTACTCCCAACAATTGGTTACCTTTAAGGGAGAATCCTTTTAGGACCATATCCTGTACACTTGGTTGAACCCTCAGGTTTCTGTGTTCTCAAGTGGTTCTCATGCTGCCATGTGGAACCAGCACCCCAGTGCATAGATCGAGGGGCCACTTGACTGATGGGATGAGTGTTTGGCTGGAGCAGAAGCAGAAGCAGAAGCAGGTGGCCCTGTCAGGTTGGTAAAGAGCTTGGGGTAGGGGTGCTATTTCCATCTCATTAAGGCCTCCAGAGCATTGTGGCAGCCTGGGCTGTGTCTTACTCCCTTTCTTTCTCCCACATCCCTGGCCACACCCCTTCCTTCATGTTTCCAGCAGGGCTTTGTCTGTTGACTGAGAGGAGAGCTAATGGGAATGCTGGTTCAGCCTGGCCCTGGTGCCTCCAGTTTGCCTTCCAAGCACCCATTCTTTTCCCATAGGTTCCCTGCCTTTGTGCCTGTGTACCTTCTCCTCCCACCCCACCCTGTGTTTATTTGAATGTTCTCATTCTTGAGCTGAACATTTAATTCATTAATTCATTTATTTTTCTTTTTGATATAAGAATTTAGGTCATACCCTTCCCTCTGGGTAGGAGTGAGATGGCTTTTCATAAGTTCTGATTTGCAATGTTTAATTTGTAAAATGTGTTATATCAATACTTTGTAAAACATGTTTCTCAAGAGAGTTATTTTCAAATGTCTTTTATAGTTCTTTAAAAAGTGATACATAGGTATTTAAAATCTGAACATATGAATTTTCCAGAAGACCCTTGCTAGGGTATTAGCTTACTGTAACATATTAGAAGAAGTTATTGAGCCTTTGGATTTTAAGATGTGGTTTGTTTGACAGTCTGCTTTTCCAGACCTCAGTGTGTCACTTCTGTAGAATTGAAGAAAAGTCAGAAGTACTAAGTGCCATGGGAAGTAAGGAAGATGGCCTCTACAGGGTTGTCCAGGAAGCCATAGACTATGCTCACCCTTCACTCACTCATTCCTGCAGGTTGGAGTTTCTTGCAGCTAGGCTCTGTCCTTAGCTTTTGGGACATATGCATGGAGGACTCAAACAAACGTCCCTGTTTCTGTGGTATTGGACTGTGCCTACAGGAAGGGACAGTCAAGTCAGGGAGTTACCATGAGGTAGGAGAAAGAGATAGCAGAGTTTAAGGTAGACTGGATTGGCCTGAAGTACTTGCATGGTAGAGTCACATTAATTGACTGTGATGGGTAATTAGATGTACCTACATGGACTTTCCTATCAGAGATAATCTTCCATCCATTATGAAGAAGCACTGTGAATCTGAGTGTGAACTTGAGAGGTTTTCTAGACAGGCATTCAGACAGCACAGAGGTGAACCTTGGAGGCAAATATGGTTTCGCTCAGTGCTACCAAAGAGCCTTTGTTCCCAGTGTATTCCGTAGAAGCTGTTTATAAGAGCTAGTGGAACATTGTGTTGCCGATTCGCCAGAGGGTGTGCTACAGGATTGGGTCGAACCCCCAGAGAGAGTGTCCACATGTGAGGGACAAGGTACTGTAGATTTCAGGAGGACTTGTTCAGGGCCCTGCTCTGATAGGTCAGGATAAGTGATGACATGGGTGATAGCTGTTCCCGTGTCATAAACTTGTCCTTCGTCTAAGTGCCATGTGTTTTCTGTAGTGTTAGTCTTGCAGGAAGTACCTCTGAAGGTAAGGGTTAGGAAATAGACTGGCTTGCCAAGTAACTTCCCCAAGGTCACTCATTTGCTAGCTGACTCACAACAAGCTCCCATGAGATTCTTGTAGATGCCAACATCTGAGCCACCAGCACACACCAGATTTCTAGCTGTTTTTTGGACTATTTCTGTCCCTAAGGACCCAGGAAGTCCTTGAATGCTGCGTTCCTCTTTGGCCATCTGAAGTCAGGTGAGATCAGATTGATTTCCAGGAAGCTCAGGTTGAATGCCTTTGCTGCCTTGCCTTGAGGGGAGGGAGCTGGAAGAGGTCCACCACCCCAGCAGTGCCGCTTTCAATTCACCCATCCCCTCCTTCCACCAAGTGCAAGAAGCATCTATTTTTACATATTTCTGCTGTTTATGTTGGGTAATAGTGGTTCCTACTGTGACCCAGCTGTTAGGTGAAATGTATAACCAAGTGTTTGGAGGTTGCTAAGAAGGAAATTCTGAAATTCTGTTTTCTTAAGTAATATTGACCTTACATAACTGGAATGGCAAAGACAATGCAGATTTGGTACCCTTCCCAGACCACTGGGACTATTTTTAATTTTCCAGTAATACATTTTTACCCATTGAGTCTAGGATAATGAGATTGCTTTCAGAGGTGGTTTGAGGTATATGCTGCTGTGTGCAGGTCCAACAGTGTTTTGGGGAGAAACTTTTCCCAGGGCTCTGGCTAGACAAACTTTAATACTTATTGGCGAGGACTAAATTGGCTGCTAGCAACTCTGCAGCCTGTGATTTTCCACCTGTCAGAGTATGGCTGTGTCCATGGGTGAGCCAGTGTTCAATAATAATAAAATGCTAGTTTGGGTGTTTCCGTGTAATTGTGCAGTCTTAGAATTCCTTCCCAGTAACACTGTTTATAACATCATTACAGCAAAGTCTCTAGTGCATGGTTCTGCCGGTTGGTTATTTCTGGAGGTTCTGCTTGTCTTTGGTAGCAGTACTCACACATGAAACTGTGGGGAACTTTTACTGTGTTTTGGGGGTCAGGCCTGGTTGTACATAGATCAGGAAGTGCGTGTGTGCATGTGTGTGCTTCTCCAATGCCATCACCCACCGCACCAGGCTTTATCTTGTTCATATGTTCTTGTTCATATGTGCTTGCAAATCTTCTACTTGCATAAGAGTCCCCCCCCTTATGGGTATAGAATGAATTTGGAATATTAAAAGGATTTTTCTAGAGAACTTTGAGGGTGGTTCTGAAATAGGCAGCAGGAGAAATCTAACCCTGACTTGAATGTTTAGTAGAGCAGAGCAGCCCAGATGGTTAGCCATCTTCAGGCGGACCTTTGCTGTTGCAGCCAGCAGAGGACTTCCTGTACATAGAGCACTGACTAGGCTGTGTGAGCCTCTAATTTCCAGC